TTATATATATATATATATATATATATATATATATGTATTTATATTTATATATAATGTAATTATGTATACTGGCACATATGAAATTGGCGCACTTTTCTCATCGTGGATGAAAGCGTGGCAGGACATGAAGAGAACTGCCTGATTGAGCCTCTGTTATCCAGTGACAGCGAGAGTTATCACTGCTATTTGAGAGAATCGTCGATCTCGAGGAAAATGAAAACGAACGATGGGGCGACGATTACAGAGATGCAAAACCGATTTTTCCACGCGTGCAATTACGAGAAGCTACGGGGCGGTCGTGAATTCAATTCTCTCGCGTAGCGTAATTTTGTGAAAAGTCTGAAAATAATTTTTTTTCTCTCAAAGAAAAGTCAAATTCCAATTACTCGAAAAATCTCGGATGCGCGGAATGTGCGCGCGAGATAACGATAATTCTGCATAATATGCGCGAAATCATTAATGTAAAAGTAAAAAGAAAAAAAAATCGTTAATTGCACCGATAATTCGAATTACTCATCTCGATTGTTACGCGATTAATAATCTCAATGCTAATCAAATTACAGTCGTAACGCTCGTTGTAACGCGAGATTTTATGCATCTTCACAACGCGCATATGAAACAAGATGAAACAAAGAGACAATAACCTACATATTAAGCGAAATAAATATAATAAATTAATAAATTATATTAATAAATTAAATTTGGATATTAAATTATTCATGATTATGAAATATGCATTGAAATATAACAAACATAATAACACATATGTAATGAACGTGACCGAGCATCGAATTATTTCGATGATTTGAATGAGTAATCAATATGACAAAACACGCATTCGTATATCCGCTTACTGTAAACTTGCATCCGTGTACCACAACTCAATCGTTATCTGTAAATCTACAAATACATAAATTCGCTCAGATTGCTCCGAGAGCTTTAATAAAAAAAAAAAAAAAAAAAAAAAAAAAAATAATACAGAGGCACTCAATATCACGGAACGACAAATAAAAATAAATAATGTAAATTCTCGGCACCTCGTTTGCCAGCGTGTAGTGTCGTAGTTATGCACACATATATATATATATCTCTCAGGTAGCTCCCGCATTAAAAAAAGGATGCCGCGAGGGTCAGCCATGAGACCTCTCGACCTGCCCGTCTCGTGCTCGTCTTAAATCTTTCGGCCATCGATTTTCACCCAACGACTGACGGTGTGAACCGCGCGTAAGCAACGAATAAATCGATCTCGTTCCTAAGAAAATTTCATCTCTACTGAGAAGTGGCGGCTGCTCCCCCACCAACGCACAACGGGGATATACTCCCCACGTGCGGATATCCCCGGTTGTCAGCATCCGCCTGTCGAGTTTGGTCTTCCCACAAGAGAGCTGTAAACTGCTGGATCCTTAATTGATCTCGATGCTCGTAACCGAGTTGGACGCGCGACGCTCGTCCTCCGTCGTCATCGTCGAGGGTGACACGGTGAAGCCGCTCAAGCCGCTCTCGATCAGGCTCATGAGGCTCTCCTGATGCGAGGACACGCGCTTCTCGTTGCGTGCCTTCTCCTCGAGCTTTCTCTTCTCGGCGGCCAGGTCGACGGCGCCGTTCTTCGTGTTTTCCCGAATCAATTGCTCCAGCTTGGACAACTGCCGCACGGTCGCGCTCTCCGTGATCTCGTTGTTCTCCACGGGTATACCGTGCTTGCTTATCGTAGGCTTATAAGTTTTCACCTTCGAATGGCCCTGAATGATGAGGTACATCGGGCCGCGAATCGGTTTGGCCGGTTGCTTGTAATGGGAGAAAATTGGATCGGTGGTGAGACTCGGAGCGGTCGTAGTTCGCGGCGGGGTCGTCGAGGACGGTGACAACGTCGTCTTCATCTTCGGAGTCTCCTCGGTGTTGAGTATCTTCACCAGGGGCGACTGATCGGGCCTGGTATTCTCGTGATGAGCCACGGTATCCGTGGTGGTCGTGTACTCCTGGGTCGACGAGACCGTAGGTGTGAACGACGGCGAGGTAGTCACAGCTGTCGCGGTCAATCGAGACGGCCGATGATCGATCGGCTGCTCGTCGGATCCAGGAATTTGCGTGCTGAAAGTCGACGGTGAGGGCGGACTGGTAAATGTCACGGGGAATGGCTGAGGTGGTCGTTGATGAGCCTGTTCCATGTTCGGCGACATCACGTTGTTCATAGATGGGACATGCATGTGTGCCATAGGTGGCGACATGTGAGACATCGACACCGGCGAGGAAATCGGGCGGAAATCGGGACGCATGCTACCGATAAAGTGCATCATGGCGTGATTCGGTCTGGTCAGCGGACGCATCATGGACTGGGAGGCCGCCTGTGGAGGGACGAACATGTGCGAGGAAGGGATTACGTGTCTGGAGGGTATTACCGGTACGGACGGCGAGCGCGAAGGCTGATGGGCAAGCTGCGAGGACGGTATCATCCTGTTTGGTACGGAGGAAACGGATGGATGATCCTCCGACAAAATCGGCGAACTCGTTATCGCGTTTCTCACTGGCTGCGACTGAGATTTCTGCGCTTGATAAATCGTCTTCGTCATCTCGGACGTCGTGGGATTCTCCCAGGCGTTATTATGCGTCGTCGTCACGGGATCCGTAATGGTCGTGGATGAGTTCTTCTGAACGTAATTCATTGGCATTACCACGGCGACCGGACCCTTCTTCGCCTTGTGTTTCTCCAGGTCCACGATGCTGGATGGTGAATTGGCGACAACGATGTGCATCTTTTGCGAGGACTGCGCATCGGTCACGGTTTCTTCTTTCTGCTCGGTGGAATCCGTACTCGTGGTAAAGATTGTGGAAGTTTGCGCAACACTCTCCAACGACGTCGAAGATGTCGCCTCGGTACTGATCTCCTTCTGACCCACTATCACTTCCTCATTTTCATTTTTATTGGCGTCCACGATAATGTTTGCGTTCTGGCCGACGATGACCTCGTGATTGGACGAGGCCGCGACGTGATGGTCAATCTCGTAGTGATCTCTGGAGTAATCCGGGGTCTGCCACGCGACCTGATTGACGTCCAATGGAAATACCGTGGAAGACGAAGTGGGTCCGTTGTTACCGAGCCATCCGCCAGACAAAGTTTGTGTCGATTGATATATCAAGTTTGACTTCTCAAAGGACACGGACGGTGCGGTAGTCACTTCGTATCTCGACTTCGTACTCTGCGAAGCCGACGGGACGTAAATG